ATACGATTTTTCTACAATTTATGGTGATTTTTACAAAACTGCCTATCATTTCAAACAATAACCCGGACCAGTCTGTGATTATGGACTTTTTCACCCAAGTTGGAGGTCATTAAAAATCGTGATAAAAATTATGAGTAAACTAGACACATTTTTTGAACTATCAGAATTTACGGATCTAGTTTTCGACTTCGTATGATTTTTCTATGATTTTTCCAAAACAGTGCAGAATGGCTAAAGTTAGCCAACAGCATGTAAATATCATAACACTTTGTATTATGTTGAGCAAAGTGTATAATCATAAGTTCTAATTATTGAATGTGTTTCTTTGTTAGTTTATCATCATGAACTGAAACTAAGTCATTCTAATAAATATTATTCATTCATTTTAGAACACGTATATTAAACTATAAAAAGTATAGTTTAATAAATTCATAACACTAATACATTTCCATAAAAGAGTTCATACATATTACAAACGTTTTAGATAAACTATAATAGGTATAGTTTATGATACATCACACAACACACTCGTACAGAAAGGGTACATTCATACAGAAAATATTTATATTCACACACATTTCACGTAAACTTGTTAACCTATATTGTGAGACATTCTCTCCATGTACGTCCGAGTGCGGGATATAATTCCTGGTAGTTATAATCAGAATCTCCTTGAGGGAGAACGTGATACTTGTATATAGATCTATATTGGGTTTGACACCCCACACCTTGCTGCTAGCTACAGTGGGACCTGCAGGTCTACGGGTGACAAATGTCATTTCAGTTTTCGCGACGCCTGAAAAACGTCGTGGCAGGTTCACATAGTCATAGTATGATTATAGCGACTCACATAGGGATATAACAATCCATAAAGTTTACGGGATTTTATTTATAAAACCTAAATGAGTTTTATGTCGATTTAAAATCACTTTTTATCTCAATGAGTACAGATATTACTGTACACTTTTGGTTTTGGTAGTTATGACTACACATCATTTGAAACCACATTTATACCTTTAAGTATAGTCAATACTTGTTTTTTTTCTCGGTCCTCGGATTTAGGACTACATATACATAAAGTATTAACAAACATGAGAACATACGGAAATTTCATTTAATTCAAACGCGTCCATGTCCATTTAAACACATAACATTTTCTATTAGTAAGAAAGGTTACTTATACATTTTGGTCTTCTGCCATAAGACTACATTACACAGATTTTAAAGAAAATATCGGATTTTCTGGATACATATTCTAACGCTTTTACAAGGAAAACGGTTTATTTTTCTAACGAAATCTCTTATGAACTCACCAACCTTTGTGTTGACACTTTTCAAAACTACTTGTATTCTCAGGAATTCAGTGAAAACAGGAAATCAACAACGTTTTGAGGATGGGACGATAAATCGTCAAACAGTTCATTTTGTATCATAATGTAATTGATGTGAATCATGTAAACATGTGCTTTGATGTAACGTTTTCAATTATATTTGTGATGGTTGTATTTACTTTGAGCACTATTATACTCATTGTTGTGATACTCTACATGAAGTCCTCCACCCCCGGACGTTTCCGCCATCCTTGGTTTGGGGGTGTGACAGATTGGTATCAGAGCATTGTTTATAGTGAACTCAGTATATCAAACCACATAAGATATACAAACGATAAATGCATTGGGACTAAGTCTCTGATTTAAAGTTTCAAAACAACTATACTTTTAGAAATAAATAGTTTCTTATTAAAGGTATACATGCATACATACATATTAAGGTCAGCACCACTCTAGAACAAAACAAAAGTAATGATTGTTGAATATCACAGGTAAGCTCGGGGATGTATGGTCAGTCTTTGGAATGGCATAGCCTGATCAACTATGCTGGTCCGAGGAGTGATTAGCACATGCCCAAGAATAGTTGTGATATGGCAACAAGTCTAAAAACTTACCAACACTACCACAATGAGAACATTAGAACAAAACATGAGTTAAAATACTATAGGAGTATTTTGTAATATCATAACTTATATGAAAACTAAATAGATCCTTATTAATAGGTCTATAGTCCCTAAGTGGATACTTTAAGGTTATATATAACTTAGAAATTATAGACTTAGAATTTGTGGTCATTACTTTACTTCCTTTTCCTTGTTTGGATGTGGACCTAGAGTGGGATCACTTATTCAAAGGTCTATTGTATCTTGTTATATGTAATTAGTATGCACAATGTCATTATAGAAGTAACTAATAAGGATCACCCCTTATAAGTAATTGATAATAGAGTTAGACACATAGTACTTATCTCCTCCACTCCTATTCTCACAAATACAGCATAACAAAATCCTACTTGCCGGATGACCCTTACTTTCCTAATCCGAACTCGAGGAATGGTGAATGGTTATGAGAAGAATCATAAGCGGGACCAGAGGTAATCAATCCTCCATGCATAGCAAGGGTTCCGCAAACCGTTTCGACTATAACGAACTTGTGACCCGTTGGGCAATCGTGATCGAGGGTTGAATGTCGACAACAATGACAACAACCACCATGTGGAGACCAACGAGGGTGCTATGACCTCAACCACGGGGGACTGACGGACAGAACCCTCCCGACAAAGACCCGGCGGATCGCGATCATCGGGAATTAAAACAGGAAGACTACAATCTGAGTTTAGAAAATTGCGCGCTACTATAGACCCCACCATCTCATGTACCGGTGACTCATAATTATACTACTATTCCCGAGACCAACTCTCTTTTTAGGACATTATCGCCACTCGTGAAGAGGAAAGAGAGTAACAGGGTAGGACACACAGCATTCAAAGAAAGGATGATTGTAGCCAAGCGTTGATTGGCAAAGCTACAAAATTGCATCGACCTTGCCTCAGGCATCACAAGGGATGGATCATCGTAAGTAGAGTTCATGCCGCTCACCAGACTTGGTAAATTAGCTTCATAAGTATGCGCTGGTGCTACTCTATTGTAAGTAAAATCACGACACTACAAACTAAATGGTCATATTAATCGAGAAATCTATCTACTATCAAAACCCGCCCATGCACAAATGTGAAGTAGACCTGCATCGAGGTCAAAATTTTCACTAAAATCAGGATTACTAAAGTCATATTAACAAGATGGACTTAGGATGTACCTAACAGAATCGACGGACTATCTAGCCTTAATTATATAACTAAGCATACATTAATGGGTCATGATAAGGACCTAGCTTGGGTCAAGTATAAGGTTTCACTTGGATACAGAGCTACTAAAATACATGAGTTTATTATACAAAGAACCTCGTTATAAATTGTTTTCAGGACACCCTAAACAACCGAACTTTGATACAAATCGATATGAGAAACTTAGTTAGAAAACTCGCGACACATAGCCATTCTAAAAACTCATTATCGTCTCACCTTTAAACATTTGTTGAGAAGTTTCTTCTTCATAGACCTATGGAGTGCGAACGTTCCAACACTAATGCACCGGATCCCATCAAAATTCCTCAGCCAAGTGTGCTCGGACAAACATGATTCTAAGAGGAGTAAAGCTTAACGTCCGTATGAAACCTACTCCTACCTACTGCCCTAACTCCATCTCGAGAGCGTTAGCAGAAACACTAAGAATAGTATAGTAATGTGCAAAAATTTATATGCGTAAATATAAATTGTAAGGATGCACTTAAGACAATCATTTCCACTAACGAAGTCGTTTTTCGTCATGAATCAGAATCGACACATCCTTAAGAACCTTAAGACTAGATGGCCAAGAATCAGAATCGACACATCCTTAAGAACCTGCATGACCAAATAAGCTTTCGCCGAAGTAGCAAGGGCCAACCCCTGTAGGGGCCCGAGCTCTATGCTTTCACTTTTTTCGAAAGCCACAAGTATCATATCACACAATTCTTTATTCACCAGATGCAACTTTGAAATGACTTCTAACTTGATTGAACTTTAATTTACATTTCGTTTTGAGCTTGATTTCTTCAATCTCCTTTTGTTTTTGGAATTTCTTGAAGTTTTTTCAATTGAACGCTTGAAACTCTTTGATTTGGGTACTAGATATAACGTCGTACCCTTTCTTCATTTTGACTGTGTGGATCTGATACTTAATCTCTCTGTTATCGCGAGAGTAATGCGTGTCAACAAATAAGGCCATGTTCTGTGGGTTCAGAGTTTCCGATAAAGATTATTTTTAAACATTAATAAGCAAATCATCCTAAAATTGTTATTACCACCCAAAAACGTTTCAGTATACCATTTTTTTATTATCTAAGTTCGGGGTCTCGAATTACGGTGTCTTGGTCCCCTGGTTATGACAACTAGTTCTACACTTCCAATAACAATCAAGTCGCTTCGGATTTTTTTCATTTTCATTTCTCAGTATCCCACTTCATGGAGCTATTGTATGTAAAGAGTATCATCATCTCATAATTTTTTTTAAATGCAGAATGCAACAAAATGAAAATATTTTTGACAAAAAAAAACTAGGAAGAAATAAAATGACAAATAAAAGAAACATAAATGAAAAATCTTTTTGGATTTTTTTAAGTTTTTTATTTTTATTTTAATAAAGTGATAAAATAAAAACTTTTTACAAAAAAATAGGAAATCCCCTCCCCAAGCTTAAAATTAATGGAAGGTGACTACTCTGACGGGGGTACATAGAGACAGAAGAAATCATCGCAAAAGTCGGTGAAATCGTCGCGCAGACCTAAGAGCTCGTCACGATAGTCGCTAACCTGAGTGCTATATAGTTGATAGTCAAGGCGAAGACCAGTCATAGTCTGTTGAAGGGAAGCAATATCCTGACAGAGGTCAAGATAATGCTAGTAAGTGAAGGGAGAGTCGAGGTGAGGGTGATATGGCTGGATGGGTGGGGGCTGATCCTAAAAGCCAGTCCGCATAGGATCAAGCTGGCTAAAGGAAATAGGTGTGGCGTCCGTGTAATCTGGGTGTTGAGTAGATGAAGATGGACGATCAGACTGTGGCTACCAGACCTACTATGTCCTAGGTTGGCGAAGAGGTTGTGGGATGTTCGACTGAAGAACCCACACAGTGTCGCTAATGGGGTCAACGAGGGTGATATCATCAGGGCCAGTGACCTTGAAATAAGTGGAGCGTACCTGCATCCAAACATACCCACCTGGAGCAGTACAAAACATGTGCATAGCGCGAAGGGTCTGCAGGGTTAAACGGAAAGAATCACCCGCAAAGAAGGTGTACCCCAGAGGAGATTGTGCCACGATGGCGCAAGCAATGATAGAAATCAGACCACCACAACGAATTGCACCGCCGGTGTGAAGGGATATAACTTTGTGAAACCTTTTGATGATAATATCACCAAAATGCGGGCGGTGTAAATTAGTGATCATGCACCACAAAAGAAAAAACTCGGCTTTGACGGATTTTATAGTCTCAAGCTGTGCATAAATGATATTACATATAATTTTCAATTCAATTTTGAGAATAGGGTGCACGATACTAGTCTATACGGATTGGGATGAATCATAAGAGTCCAAACCAGTGATGGAGTGCCAAACCTCGCATACGTCAAAAGCGGGGGTGGGATGGGATAAACTGGTGATGGGGGATATGGAAGATAGTACATAACTGGTCCATGTGAATAGGGTGAGGGGTGCTAAAAATGCGAAAATATAAATTTCCCTCACGATTTACCTCACTCAGAGTAGCTAAAAACTATCGGGTCAATAGGGGACAAGTGGCAAAATCCGCAGATGATAGGCGCTCCCAGCCAATATTGGCAAAAAGAGCGTGAACATCATCATAAATATGGAGCTCCCGCATTGGTGTGCGGCTAGGGGTCCAGGCTTGTGGAATAATCTCGCGGTCGAGAAGCCACTTGTAACAGTCAAGTGCGGTATGTGAACCTAAATCTACAGTGATATTGTCCGCCTGGACAGTGTATGACGGCTCTGGAGCGTCAACCTGTCTGCATGAACGAGATGATCTAGGAGGCATTTTTTTTTCAGGTCAAAAGCGGGACAAGGATGGCACAATTTACAAGTAAAAGAAAATAACAATCAAGCAAAAATAATTATCTCTAACTACTCCCAAGCGGATACGCAAGCCCGCACAAATATATAACAAAAACAAAAATTCAGTTTCAGAACGAAGATACCTGACTGTGCGACTGTGCGCTGAGTAACAATATATTTTTCGTGCCGCACACACATGTGTTCGGCCGCAAACTCATGTGTACGGACGTACACTCCCTCACTTGGAGTGTTCGAATTGATTTCGACGTGAAGAACTTACGCAACTCGATCCTATACCCAATGCTTGAATGTATTGAGCTTTGAACCCTTAAACAGACTTTAAACAAAGGCTAATTAATAGCAGAAACGAGTCTGATACACTGTTGGATTTAATGGTTGTAATTACAAAGCAGAAATTTTCGGGTTGTCATACCCTTGTTCCTCTCCAACCGACTGTTTGTCCGCCCACATCCACCGATGTTGTTTCCCGAATCGAAAGGGTGATGATAGTGGTGGAGACGCCGACAATCGAAGCAAATAGAAGCACAATGAAAAGAGTGAAATGAAATGCGGAAATTGGAGGAATGGATTTAAACAGAAGAAAACACATACGATTGGGAAGGAAATTGGATGTGTAAAAGACGGATTTATGATTTAATCAGAAGCGAAGAGAAGCGGTGATTCTTGGAAGAAGCCATGACATCAATTGTAATGTAATTGACCTACCGAGTCGGCGAAGTGGTGAATTAATTAGTGAATAATTAAATTCACAAACCACATAAAAGAAAAACACACAAAAAAAATAAATAAAAAATAAAACAACCAATGTGATCAAAGAACTATTCCCTAAGGGACTTTACAATTAATCTATATGTATAATTAGCTTTAATCGGGATAAAAACCAATAAATCAATAAGTTAATAAATTTTAACTTGACATCTTCGTTTGAAGTTATTATGATTAAAAAGATAAAGAAAGTTTTAAAAAAACCAATTTTATATGTTTTCTAAAATCTTAATTTTAAAACTAAATGATTTTGAGTTTGTCAAAAAAGAAAAATGATTTGATTTATTGGCTTTTTAAAAAAGCGAATACAAATCAATAAATTATTTAAAAATACAATCTCAACCGAACCATGCCCATTGATGACAAAAAAAACTTAGTTGGTTGTGAAAATAATATTAAAAAATTAAGAATTTAGGACAAAACCTCCCGATACAATGGGCACATCAACTAGCAAGTTGTTATTATTTTTCTTTTGTTAATCCACGTGCCTTCCTACCAATTAAACCTTAGATTTTTATAGGATAAAATTTTGTATTTAATAAAATTTAACATTACCCATTTTGGAAAAAAAAAATTACAAAATCGTACTTTTTTTAACTATAAAAAGAGTATGAGATCATATATCTTCATATTCAATCCCCATTTTGTACTTTAATCCCTTTTTATTTGTATTTTCTAAATATGGATGGTGAGTTTTTAAAATTTTATATAAATCTTGGAGACTCTCAAAATCATTCTAATGCTCAGTATTTTGAAAATTCTCCGTTTCTTTTCAAATCCCAACCAAAATTCGGCCATAAATAATATTCAAACATCAAAAAATACTGAAAAACAACAATGAGGAAATAAATGGGATGTTGCTTTAATGTCAAGATGGTGTTTTGCTAGTGAAGATTAGGAGCGTGGAAAAAACCAGAAAAAAAAAACATTATTGTGGGCACAAATAAAGCAACTGTATGATGTTGCTCGGGTTGAAAATCCAGAAAAGCTGAATAGCAGGAACGGAAATCAAATGAAAGGTCGTTTTAAACGACTTAGTGAAAATTCACAAAAGTGGGTTGGTGTATATTGGGAAACATGGCGTCGAAGAAGAAGTGGAATGAGTCAAAAATATATTGAAAACGAAGGTCATAAACTTTATGAGGCAAGTGGGAACAAGTTTAACGACATTATTGTTTTTAATGAAGTTATGTGTAAACACGATAAGTGGGCTTTAGAGTTAGATCGTGACACAGCACGTTCCCGTCATGAATGTGAAGTGGGTAATAAAGAAAGTGGTGGTAGCACGAAAAGATCAATGAATACTGAAGAATGGGAGTATTGTGTCCATTTCAACCTAGAAACGCCAACTAGTGATAGTTCAACAGTTAAACGTCCAACAAGCAGAGATGCGGAAAAAAAGGGGAAAGGTGAGGCTTCTAATGAAATTGTTACAGAACTTCGTGCAACGAGGCTTGCTAGAGAAAGTGAACTTGAAGTCATGAAAAAAAAGGAATTGACTTGATAAAGAAATGCCAACAACAAAGTAATGACTTAGACAAGGAAAGGGAGCAAAAAACAGATGAAAGGGAGCTGGTCAAGATGTAACTTGTGCATTTGAACACACTGCTACAAAAGGAGCATTTATCACTTGAAGAAGAAAACATGAAACACTTTCTAAAGATCAGAATATGTAAACACAGTTATGTTAATCAAAATAACTCTTTGATTATTGTGAGAATATCACTCAAAACTCACAGTGTTTACAATGCTTTCCGATGATCATAACTCGACTTAAAACAATGTATATATAATCCTAACTACCGACTTGTAATTAGATTACAATTAGGAAACTAGAAACCTACTTGTTTATGATTTCCTAAAAACTAGGTTGCTATTACTTGGTCTCCAAGTCCTACTCGACTTACGATTCCAACAATCACCCCCGAATCTCTAAGTCCTTCTAGAGAATTCTTCAACCCGATCCGTATTTAGAACACGGATTTGTCGTTGTCGTCACGTTCCGAAAAATCACCGTCTTGTAATTTTTGGAGTTGTTCCGGACATTCAGAAGCAAAATGATCCGGTTTGTCACACCAAAAGCAAATCACCTTAGATCAGTCTTTTTCCATATTTTTCCGATTTTTATCACAACAACAATTACATTTTTTGCAATTGTTGGAATTGGGTTGAATTAAATCGGAATTGGATTGTTTATTGGACCGATTACTTTGAGAAACAATATTTTTTCATTTGGGTCCGCATGACCCACATGACCCTCCATATGCGGATCCATTTGACCCGTTAGTCCCATTAAACTCATTCGATCCTTTCCACTTTACCTTCGTTATCGACGAGTTACCCCCACCAGCCGACGAGCTTCCTACTTCAGATGTTGATTTCACAAATAGCACCTTCGACTGATCTGCCTTGCTAATATCTTCTTCCATTATTCTTTCTTCGTATGCCTTTAATCGACCGACTACATCTTCGAATCCGATTGATTTCAGATCAAGCACCTGTTCCAAAGAGGCGACGATGTGCATAAACTTCAAACGAGGCAAGGTTTTGAGGAACTTCTTCATTAATTTCGATTCATCAATAACCTCTCCTAAAGTTGCTGATTTCAAGGCTATACCGGACAACTTTCCAGCATACGTGTCGATGGTTTCCAACTCCATCATCTTTAGCCGATCGAATTCGGCGTTTAGGGTTTGCAATCGGGCCTCTTTCACCCTATCAGCTCCTACATAACGAGCCTTGATCAATTCCCACAGAACCTTTGAAGAATCGACATCACCAATTTGCATTATCAAGCTTTCTGGAATTGCCTGATAAAGCAACCCCATAGCAAGGTAATCTTTCTCCTAGTTTTTCTCTATTCCAGGATCAATCACTGTCCAAGCCTTGTGAATCTTTAATACCACTTTCATTCTCATTGACCATACAGTGTAACTCGTTGAGTTCAGCATAGGACACGCTACAGTGGTTGACCCAATTTCCTTCACTCTCATCGGAGAGGGCCCTGCACCATCTTCACCATCCGACATGTTGACCTAACTTGTCAACAGGTAACAAAAAACGATCTCACAGCCTTCGATTCCATGGCTCTGATACCAATTAAAGATCAGAATATGTAAACACAGTTATGTTAATCAAAATAACTCTTTGATTATTGTGAGAATATCACTCAAAACTCACAGTGTTTACATGTAACATCCCAAAAATACAGGTCAAAATTTTCATTTTTAAATACATTATTATATAAAACCATCGGCATAAAAACATTCATATTAATATCTCATGTCAAAACCAAAGTGTCAATAATCAAAACATATTATCATAACACCATATCAGAGTGTAATCCCAAAGATCTCATGTGCGGAAAACATAGTGTGATGCGCTGCGATCAAGCGAGCTCCTTTCCTTTGAAAACAAGTACCTGAAACCAAAACTGTAAACCGTAAGCACAAAGCTTAGTGAGTTCCCCCATCATACCAAATACCATACAATCACATAGCATACATACTTCCGGGCAATTCTGGGGTGCCCGGACTACCCGTGTCAAGCCATTTTGGGGTGCTAACCTACCCGTGTCAAGCCATTATGGGGTGCTAACCTACCCGTGTCAAGCCATTCTGGGGTGCTGACCTACCTGTCGGTCCTAACAATCGACCCTCGGGGACTATTCCATCCACTACTGCTACTATCATATATATATCATAACATAAACATACTATCAGACATATCTGGGGTGCCTGAACTACCCTTCGGTCCTAACAACCGAACACGGGGACTGGTCCCCTCATACTACCTCTATCGCATATAACATAACAACCCAACATGCAAACATATCATCACATACTGTCAGACGTATCTGGGGTGTCTGACTACCCTTCGGTCCTAACAACCGAACTCGACTACTATCACATACAACATATCATGCTACCATATAACATATCAGGTAGTAGCAAACCTAGATGATATCACAAAGACAATCATCTATCATACGTCTCCTACTGGTGGGCCGACATTGTGGCCTTAGACCCACCACTACTAGAAGGTAACTCACCTCACACTGCTGAAGTCCCGAAGACACAATCCCACACTCGCTGAAGTCCCGCAGACTCGACCCCAGCTGCTGGCTGACAGACTCCCGAACTATCAACACCAAAATAACACCCAATTAATAATTGGGTCCCAACACATAACCATAATACATACTTGGATAATTACTTCATTACCTCATGCTTGGATTATATAAGCCCAAGGCCCAATCCATAGGCCCAAAGCGAACTAGGAATCAAAGCCTAACATATGGCCCAATTTTCCAAATTGGGCCCAGGCCTATATGTGGTCTTATTCTAAGGCCTAACATTATACAATCATTAAGGCCCAACTATGGTCCATCTATGGCCCAATTTTCCAAATTGGGCCCAACCCCTTACATGGGACTTACCCTAGGCCCATTAAATTATTTTAGTCCATATAATTATTCTTGGATGGCCCATTAATAATCCAATCATCAAGGCCCAATAGAAAGGCCCAACAATAAACCCAAGTGAAGTTAGGGTTTCACATAAAATGCCGATTAGGGTTAAGTTTCCTACTTAACCCATTAAGGAATTATTCCTTTAAGGACTTAATCCATTAAGTCCATCATTCTTCTAAATAAGTCATATGAGGTGATTGGGCTTAATCACACAATTCCATTCCAATGGCCCAAATATGGGTCTCGATAAGTCAAAGCCCGTAATCCCAAATTAGAGTTTTCACATGCAATGATGATTAAGGTTTAGTGTTTCTTTCTTAACCCATTAAGGACTTAATCCATTAATTCCATTATGCCTTACGCTAGTTTGCCAATGATTATTAATTATTTAAGATTTAATAATTAATTCTCGTGTGCCCCAAGCAATTTCCACAAATTAGGGTTTTATTTGCATTATGGTTTTTCCAACCCAAATATTAGTCCATTTATCAATTTGTTGGGCTTTTAGGTCCATTAGGGCTTTATTGGGCCTATTAAGCCCACTAAAATATTATTAAGCCCATTAAGGTTTCATTAGGGTCCATTAAGGTTTTATTAAGCCCATTAAGTCTTATTGGGCCCATTAGGGATTCCTTGGGTCCATTAGGGTTTCAAACCCCCAAACAAATCAACACAATCGAGACAAGGCACACCGCCACTCGACACGGCGGCCGGTGGCGGTAGCCACCACCTCACGGTGGTGGTTTCGAATTTCTTTCCATTATTCAGTTTGTTACAATTTACAATGCCAAAGAACGAATAAACACACACACCTCCTAACACACACACACAAACACGGTGGTGTATGGTGGCAGCCACCACCTCACGGTGGTCGTGGTGGCCTTGTCTCAATTTTCCGGCCAATGAAACTGCATAGAACACACACACACCTAAACACATGGCAGCACACGCACACAACCACCTTCCACGACGGCTGTTGGCGGCCATGGAAGTTCTTCGCTGTTGTCGACCATCAAACACCCCACTGTATGCACAATAATGCGAAAACGCACCCCCCCCCTTCGTCTTTTGCTCGTAAAAGAAATCCACACCCACCTGAACTCACGAAAAATTGAAGCAACGATTCACGGTGGCTCGACTGGTCTCGGTGGTTTTGGCTAGAGCGAGTTGCTGACGAGACATCGACCAAGAGCAATGGTGGCACAACAACGGAAAGAAACAGAGACAGAGGAGATTGGTGACCCAAATATCAAACCGCAACAACACGATCCTTGATCTCCCGACCAACCCGCATCGACTCGTGGCTCCTTTCTCTTCTACGGTGGTGGTGGTGATCGAACTCGAACTCACAGCGGCTGTAGCTCCGATCTGCAAGTAGCGAGTGGGCGAAGCCTCAACTGACAGCGACAGAAGAAGGACAATAGGGGAAAAAGGACGGTTGTCTGGTGGTCGTTGGCTGATCGGGAACATGGTGGTGGCGGCGGCTCCGGTGAGGGGGCATAAGGGGGATGACGGCTGCTACATACTGGAGGGTTTAGGGTTTTAGTAGCGATGCTTTAAACGGGAATGAAGGAGTCGTTGGGTTTAAATCCCGCTCCACTCAAAACTTTTCTCATTAGACAAGTTTAGTCCCTCCCATAGGATCCTTTTCCAATCAAATCTTATATTTACCCATTAAACCCCAACATTAAAAATCCATTACAACTTAGGTACGAAATGTACCCAACGGCCCCCCTATCCCCATAATCTCTTCAATTGAAGTCCCATAAATTCCCAATAATTACCACGAAGCCCCTGACTTCATAATAATATACAAACTGAGTCCGACTCTCATACTTTTAACCACCAATTACTAAATTATGCCATTTTACTCCTTGAAACCACCCCCTGCATATATAATTATTTATTTATTTTAGGCTACTATTCGCTCATTAATTTATTTATTTAGCGTAATAAATAAATGGGTGTTACAACTCTCCCCCACTTAAATTAGATTTTGTCCTCGAAATCATTACTTATCCTTCCTTACTCAC